AAGTAAGAAAAATCATTGAAGATAGAAATGGATTTCATTTAAACTGCAATTCTCAATACAAAAGCCTCAGTTAATTTGATATTGACATGAGAGGACTAACATTAAGACTATTAAGCCTTTTCCTTGTCTATCCCTATCTGTGAAGCAATAGGGCGTGTGCTTAATATCTAATTATAAATATATAAAGTGTATTTAAGGAACCAGTGTCAATAGAAAAATCCAAAGATTTGCCTAAATGTAAAATACATCGCGAATGTAATTAGTCTTTGAAAATGTACCCTTTCATGCCTGAAGGAGTCTGGAAATCAGTATTAGCTTTCCCATATAACCAAGTATTTTCTAGACTGAAAAAGGCATATGTACTCTATGCATCTTCTACAGAGTATAAGTAGGGTATGTCAATTATAGTACAGGCATACTATCATAGAAGCATAGAATCATTAAGGTTGGAAGGGACCTTTAGAGATCATCTAGTCCAACCCCGCTGCACACACAGAGTCACCTAGAGTACGTGGCACAGACTGGGTCCAAGCAGGTTTTGAATATCACCGTCATTGTCAAGAAGTTTTTCCTTAAGTTCATGTGGAACTTTTGGTGCTTCAGTCTGTGGCCTTTACATCTGGTTCTGTCGGTGACCACCGCTGAAAAGAGTCCAGCACCATCCTCCTCACTGCCTCCCTTGAGGTACTTATAGACACTGATTAGATCCCCTCTCAGCCTTCTCTTCTCCAGGCTGAACAGGCCCAGCTCCCTCAGCCTTTCCTCATATGGCAGATGTTCCAGGTCCCTGTTCATCCTCATAGCCCTGTGCTGGACTCTCTCCAATAGCTCCACATCCCTTTTGCACTGGAGAGCCCAGAAATGCACACAATACTCCAGGTGCCTCCTCACCAGGGCTGAGTAGAGGGGCAGGATCACCTCACTCAACCTGCTGGTAACGCTCCTCCTCATGGAGGCCAGGATCTCATTGGCCTTCTTGGCCACAAGGGCACACTGCTGTCTCATGGTCAACTTGTCATCCACCATGACACCCAGGTCCCTCTCTGCAGAGCTGCTCTCTAGAATGTCAGTTCCCAGCCCATACTGTTGTCTGGGGTTATTCCTCTCCAGATGCAGGACCTTGCATTTGCCCTTTTTGAACTTCATAAGGTTTCTTACCACTCAGTTGTCCAGTCTGTCCAGGTCGCTCTGGATAGCAGCACAGCTCTCTGGGGTATCAGCTACTCCTCCCAGTTTGGTATCAAATTCTATCCAATACCTATCCTCTGATAATTCACAATAATCTCATTTTTAAGGACAAGATAGTCTGTTTTTCCCATTTTTATATATCTTTTTGCTTGTTTATACTTCTATAAATGCCTATTATAATGGAATAGGAGCACTTCAAGTACAGATGGATAGCTATCTCCTGAAAATCAATATGAGCACTAAAAAAAGAAAAAAAAATCCTAAATGTGAAAGACATCTGTGTCTTAACACGGGAATGATGAATTTCTATTGCGTCTGCCAAAACTATCATCTTCTCATAGATGAAGACATATTGGCTGAGCAATATTGTGAGGTGTTCCTTGTAAGATATTTAAGGTATTAAAACTTCCAGTTGTGATAAGGTTAATTCAGTTGTATGTGTTAGCAGAGTTAAACTGGTATAATGTTTCTGCAAGTGAGAAGAGAAACCATCATGTTCACTTCACTGAAAGACAACGCTAAAAAGAGGACAAATGTTTGCTTCAGATTATCACTGAATGTTATATCTATTCCAGCATATCAAAAATAAAACAAGGTCATGGATCTTATAAGAATATAGATTGCTTCAGTGCATACTGGATAATTAAAATCCTGAGAAAATTGTCTAATGCTTTAAAGCATGCGATTCTCTTTTCTAGCTGACAGATTACAGCATGTCATATTACTTGTATCTTATCTGATTTTGTGCATCTTAAAGAGAGGTCATTTTACAAAAAGTAAATGAGGATCTGTTTCTAAATCTCAGGTTTAAGGCAAAACATACGAGAGAATCCCATGCCATTGTAGGCATGCCAGTGTTCATATTTGCTTGAGTTGCTGTTCTCTTAAGCCATCTGGTATTACATACTGAACAGTCAGTATGCTAACAAACTAACAAGTAGAAAATAGTTACATAAAAAAGTAATGTTGTTTGTACAGTGTGATATGAAGTTTTCATGCAATTCTAGGCATTTAGGAGTTTTTGATTTGTATTTTTTTTCCATAAAAAATATCCAAATTAACTATTGAAGGGTTTTTTAGAATTTAGATTCTTTTAGAGCATTAATGTAAACACAATGGGTATATATTTATTTTAACATTCTCTTTAAAACTCTAGAACTTTAAAAATTTAATTTGTGCAAAATTTTGGAAGTCTTTTTTTTTTTTTTTTTCACACGTGATAGTAGAATGTCTGCTAGCATGTACGCCTAGGCTCACTAAACTGGATTAGAGGCAACATATCATTTTTGTGGTGCATACTACATTTTCATGAGGAATACCATGCTGAAATAAAACCAAGTTCTGCATAGTTATTCCTTTATTTCATATATAGGTGTGAAATAGAGTTGGTACTCTTCTATGGTATGTTTTCATGGATTTATCAAGCTCAGTGGACTGGAGACCACTACAGCTGAATATCCTGAGAGAGAATATGTCTAGTAAATTAACATAAACCTAACTATAGTGACTTAGATAGTGAAAGCCAGATCACAATTTGCTAATAAAGTATGATGAGGCTATTACCTGCTAACTTATATAATGGAATTAACGTTGCTTAGAGATGCATTTTAATTTATTCTTGGCCTTGGGAGTTTAGAAATAGAGTGAAATAGAATCCGATGAGAGAGAGACTGCTGTTTGAGAAAGGTAAAAATGAAAAAATCAAAAATCTATTTTATGAGGAAAGACTAAGTAAGCTGGGCCTGTTTAGCCTAGAGAAGAGAAGATTGAGAGGAGATCTGATCAACATGTACCTGAGGAGTGAATGCAGGGAGGATGGGGCAAACTATTCTTGGTTGTGGCCGGTGACAGGACACGGGGTAATGTGTACATGTTGAAACACAGGAAGCCCGGAACAGGCTGCCCAGAGAGGTTGTGGAGTCTCCTTCTCTGGAGATCTTCCAAACCTGCCTGGATGTGACCCTGTGCCACGTGCTCTAGGTGCCCCAGCTTGAGCAGAGGGGTTGGACAAGATAATCTCTAGAAGTCCCTTCCAACCTCAAGCATTCTGTGTGATTCTGTGAAAATGTAAGCGTATTCTGAAATAAATGGAAGTTCATTTCATAAATCCTATTGGGAAGCTAAGAGCATAGTCTTGTCTCTATTCACTTTAATTACTAAAGAGTACATATATGTCTTGATAGGGTCTGATAATGAAAGCTTATTTTAGGAACTGTGAGATAGGAATATTGCGACAGGGCCATAGGTTCTTTTCTGGCCTTAAAATTAAGGGAAACACTCCAATGCTATGTGTAATATTTCAGTATATGAATTCTGTTCACTCTATGAAATGACTCTAATGTTTCTAGTTTTTTCTTCCCTCTGTCTTTCAGTGTTGTATTGTCTTAGCTTATTACATATGCAATGGTATCTAATATAAACATGTTTGTGTCTTTCTCACATTTTATTGTGTACGATGAGTATTGTGGTGCTATCCACATGAAAATCTCAAAAATCCCTTTGAAGTGCCATATTTTTTTCTCAAAATAAGGAATGGGAACATTTTCTGTATTTGAAGTGGTAATATTGCTTAATCTTGAAGAATAGTAGCTTGAACTCTCCATTAATATCAGTATTCAACAGGCTCTAGGATAAGAGCCATGTCACGTGAGCTTAGATAAGGAAAAGTTGATTATCTCACCTAAACTAGTTATCTAAGTTCCTGTAAAGTCAACAATGGGAAGTGACCACTTCAAAGATCAAATATTTTGGGCAAACATAGATGTCTATTTTAGCATAAAATATGTTATCTCTTGTATGTACTGGTTATATTCAGCCTATGGGAGTGGGAGCCTGAATAACTAGCTCTGGTTGGACAACAGCTAATGGTAATGAATTCTCACTGTCAAAACTCCTTTGCAACAAAACTTAAGCTTTATATAGGCTAAAAATATTGTAGAAAGTATCTGTTTTTCTTTTGTGCTTTTCTTTTTATTAAAAATAGTTATTAAATCCAGTATTCCCTTTTGGGGAGCCGTTATTAGCAGTTGTATTGATCCAGATTGACAGCTTGGTCTTTATTAAACAGATTAATAATTATTCTAGAATTACTGCTAGCTGGGTCGGGAAAAAATAAAGACAGGAGCCATTTTAATTAATTTGTAGTGTACTTCTGGAAAGTCAGGAAGGCTAGGTCTTAATTCTAATTCTTAATTTGCTCGTGAATAATCCATGGAAAATATCTTCAGCCATTTTCCCAGCACTGTCTGTTTGCACAGATGACCTTAACTGCTCTTACTGTTAAGATTTCTGTTATTTTTTTTTTTTAAATTTACTGTTAAAATTTCTTCTCCTTTAGATCGAATGCAAACTTTCACATTCCCAGCTTCAGGGCACAGCTCCTTGTCCTAACGCCTTTCGAGACAAAATAATTCCCTTCTTTCATTTATATTGTTGCCCTGAAGGTTTTTGATTAATACGTTTCACTGATTATGATACCCTGTGTACAACATGGCCTTAGTGTTGCACTAATTTGATTCCAGTATTTTATAACAATTCATCCTGGGGTTCCACAAGAGACGAAAAAGAGTAATTGCTCATTATCTCAGAAATTATCAAGATTTACCACTAATTCTCTCAATTGCTCTGTTCCGCATAGGAAAGTAAATGATGTTAACAGTGTGGAAATGCAGTTAATTTTCCAGTGATCAAAGACCACTACTTGTCACTCAATGGATATAGATTTCATATTCTACTCTAACACTTGCTGTGTAACTATTGCTCATGTGTACTCTCTAAAACCTTAATAATTCATTGTTTTTTTCTTCTTTCAGCTGATGGATGCACCGACTGGTCTGTGGATTACAAGAAATATCAAGTTCTAGTGGGAGAACCTGTTCGTATAAAATGCGCACTGTTTTATGGATATATTAGAGCTAATTACTCCCTAGCCCAAAGTGCTGGACTCAGTTTGATGTGGTACAAAAGCTCTGGACCTGGAGATTTCGAGGAACCTATAGCTTTTGATGGAACTCGAATGAGCAAAGAAGAAGACTCCATTTGGTTTCGACCTACAGTAGTACAAGACAGCGGGCTTTATGCATGTGTTATAAGGTACTATATTTTAATATACTGTATTTAAATGGCACAGATAAACCAAACTTGGGGATGTTTATGTTGAGACTTCGTAACAAATTGAAATATTTGTTGAGTATGTCCTTTTCTTCTCCTCTTGCTGTCCCTTTCCCTTTCATGCTTAAGTAGAAATTATGGTCGAATGAATATTGACTGAATGAATATTGGTTGAATGAATTGGTCGAATTGTGATGAGTATTTTAAAAAAAATGTTGTATAAATTTTGGTTATTTATAACAGGATGTGAAATTTACAGATCCAGTCCCACCCATCATGGAATTTGTGCTATTACCTGTGCTTTGATTTAACTACTATAATATATTCCGTCTTCTAGTGCAAAAAGTTCATTATGCAAATTCAAATTGAATTTAGTTTTTATGATTTTTCCACATTTTTAAAAAATCACCTTTTCATGTAGAATTTTGTGCTGGCTCTTTTGTGCCAGATTTCTACCATCTGATGTAAAACAGTTTCATTAAGGAAAATAGAATAAGATTATGTTAAAGTTTTTTACATTTTTACAGACCTAAATCATATCCTATCATAGCTGGTTTGATTTGGTAATGGGGACTGGGTGTCAAATATCTTCCAAAACTGTTTAACCTTCTGATGAATCAAGCCCTATCAACTTAACTTTGAAAAGATTTCCATTCCCACTTTGTGAGTCAGATGTTCAACTTCGTTCTGCATCTCTGAAGTGGTTTATGCTGAGACATTGTTTCCAACCCTTTGCTGTTAAAAGGATCATCTAGGCACTTTCGTATGGTGTTACATTATACTTATACTAGATGTGAAATTATGCAAATCGTGCATAAAAGATTTAGGAAAGATTCCGTAATAATTGTTTGACGAATTGGAAAAATTGGTTATTGTTCTTAGGTGAAAAGATGAATCAGTGTTCTTCTCTGCCTCTGTATCTATAAAAAAAATGCTACTCATAGACTATAGAAACTGCTAAAAAAGAAGGAAAAAAAAAAGAAAGTAAAGCTGCTGAGGGGCCAGACCAGGAAGGCGAAAAGATGCTCTTCTGACATTGCAAAGAAAATAAGAAAAAATGTGTCACCAACACCTGGAGAGTCTAGTGATGTTTAGAGCAGAGGGTTGCTGAATCTCTTCATTTGTTCAATAACATTTTTAGTGTGATTCTTCTGAGATGATGATATAAAAGGCAAGGTAAGGGGAAGGAAGTGAACAAAAAGGAAGGGGAGTGAAGGGAAGGTAAAAGAAAAGAAAGAAAACTAAGCAAGTTATGTTGCTTAAGGATAGTATTTATTTATGTTTAGATGAATATATTTTCAGATAAGTGTATAGCAATAGCCATGAAAATAGCACCATTTATCTTCTTTAATTATTCGATAGTGCTGTTTGAATTACCACTATCAGTCTCTGCTGTTTAGAAATAGAAAGCCTTAAATATTTCATATTGGAGTTTCAGCAATTAAGAATAAAAGCTGAATTTAGATCGATCAGCTTTTCTATGAAATTTGTTTATGATTTCAACCTATATTTGTTCTATTTTGGATTAATTTCTTCTTAATCTCAGCATAGGTAAGGGCTTGTTCTATTTTTCTTTAGAAAACATACTGCTTTTTTGACACAGACTTGATTGTCCATCTGACAGTTATTGTACATGTAGATGGAAGATAGTTTTGAAAAAACAGAAACCAAAATAACTAATATGCCCATTATCCGGAATACTGTTATGAAGAGTTGCAAAGCCTTTCAGCCTACATAGATCCACTTGAATAAGCAAGGGTACAAAAATGTCTGTGCTTGTTTTTATGTCAAAGTTTTAATTTTACACATTTTTGACTGAAAGTTTTGACAATTTTCAGTTGTATGATGAAGATGGTTATTGGTAGAAAAGAGTAAATCTTCATTTTACAATCAGAGAAATACATTACTTGATCTGTGTTTCTGAGTTAAGCATATATTTTTAATCACAAAAAAATACTCAAGAATACAGCGGTTCATTTTTTGTTCTGTTGTTCTTACACTAGAAACTGTTCATCTGATGAAAAATATGAGAGGTTGAATTGAAGCAATCTGTCAAAATTATGTAGTGTATCTGTACTTGTAAAGTTGTTGATGAAGAAATACCTAGAATAAAAGTTCTGACTTCCAATAGCTGTTTTCTGAAATCAGAATCCTGAGCCCTGTTCTCACTAAATACATTAATCCTGCCTCACTATATACATTAATCCTGCTAGAGTATAACAAAGGACTGGAGGAAGGGCAGAGGACAAGAATGATCCTTTCTTGCAAGAAAGAAAATAGTGATTATAGGGATGGCATATAAGATTTTTTTTTCTCACAGATTTGAAATTTTTATTTATTTTAATGAAGAGAGTTTTAAACACCTTCAGAATTATGTTATAGGCTACTTTAGTTTTGAAGACTGAGGATCTCAGTGAAGAGGCAGAAAATGACCCCGTAGCAAACTGATGATCAATGTGGTGCTTGCAATAACTTGCATACGGGAGCAAGGTGAAGAGAGGTGCCTGTAATCACAACAAGGGCAGACAGTGCAAATGGGCAAAAGGCAGACTGTGCTTTGAATAAATGTCTCTGCCTAGGTTTTATGCTTCAGACCTAACTGCAAGGAGTGGAATAGTCCAGTAGTGTTTTCTTTGCTCACTACTCATTTCCTCTTCACATATCTCTGCTACCTCTAACAATAGTAGGAAAGAAAAACATATATATTATATAGGGAGGATAACTACTAGAGAATAAAACTGGTGTAACAGATAGCATGGCAATAAATTAATAATATTAACGGATTTTGGAAGAGTTTGTTGGAGAAAAAAAACACTACATTTTTACTACAGTAGAAACATTGGGCTTTCATTGAATAGAAAAGTGCACATTTTTAGTGTAAATAGTCTACAGATAATAAAGTAGGCTGATTATTATTTACTTCAGAAGTGAAGAAATAACCTTCATCCTTATTCACTAGTGCTTGCAATACTGTCATCTTTAATTTCTTATCCTTGCCTTTCTTCCTATGGGAAGTATGATTGCCATAAGAAAAGGCAGAATGTTGAGACTGAACCTTATTATCAAGGACCTGCTAAGGCAGAGAATATTGACAGAGTTATAAGTAGCTTTTCAGCTTAGTATTGTCAATGAAAAGTCTGTGAAGCTAACAACTCTATGGACTTACCTAGTACTTTAAAGAAAGAAGTATTGTAGTTTACTTCAGGTACAACAATATGTCAGTGTCCTCGTTGCACATTTAAGGAAGCAGAAGTTGCAAAATATTATCTTTCAGTGGGTGTGACATCACAAAATTTTCTCTTATTTATCCTATCTGGGCAGCAGCTCTAAGTAGATAGGCTGCACAAAGAGTCAATGTACATATTCAACAATATCTCCCATAATTTGAATTATGTTGGTACAGCATGGTTTCTGCAAGAATTTGCCTCTTTTAATGTTACAAAAGAAAGTTGAAATATTGTTTTTGTCATACTGACATCCCTTCATGTTTGCATCTTTTCCTTTCCTGCCTGGAAGTTTTTATTACAGGATCTCTAATAATGGTTCAATCTAACATTCACTCAGGCCAGTGTGGCCGAGGAGAAGACTGAAAGGCTGGATCGTTGTTTATGTCAAGATGCTACAATGGCCTGTTTTGCCAAGGCTTTTATGATTCGTTCATCTAGAGCTTTAGATTGATATGCCAGTTAAACAGTGTCTAGAAAACATCTTTAATCGCCTTATACCGTGTATGTAGGAATTCAGATGTCTTTTTGAATCACAATATCCACTTACCATCTAGTTACTCTGGTGCTTTTACACTAATGTTTTTAAGCAAGGTTCCTTTTACATCTCTAACTGCAAACTCTCATCGATTTGAACTAGAGTTAATGTTTTTGCCAAATGTTTTACCAACATTTGATTTAAACCACTGTCCTCTATTTTTCCTTAATAATGGTGGTTCCATCATCTCAGTTGCTTCTCTGTAGACTGATGTGTTTGGATACTTACGAAAATTGCTTCAGTAGCTGAGATGATAGTTAATGGAGAAGAATGCATGCCAGCAAGTATTACTAGTCATTTTTAGATACATACAAGTGTCTATAAAGTATGCATCCAAGCCAGGAAAAAAAAAAAAGAAAAAAGGTAAACACAGAACTTAACATAATGCATTATAAATTACAGATGTCAGCTAATTTTCATGAAATTCCTTTTCCAGCATTTAACACATTTAAAATAAATTCTTTAGTTATTCACCAGCCTTAGAAAGCTGCCTATAGCTCATTTGGTAATACTGAGCGTTGAAGGTTCAAATGCAGACGGGACTGCCAGGTTCAAGCTGGGAATCGCAACTACAATGAAGTGGTTCAAATCTGTTTTCCATGATGGTCAGAAACACAAATGAGCTTCTGCTTGATGATCTTTAATTATTTCTTAAGTCACTCACAAATCTAGCAGAAAAGGAATAAATAGAATTATTCAGAAAAGCATAGGGAGTTTTCTGATTTTACTTCTGAGAGGGGAAAATAAAAGACACCGTTTGTTTCCTAAAACAAAATCAGATCATTGGCCGATTCTGCATTTAGCGTTGTTAGCCTTGCCATGGCCTTGTACATATGTTCTTCTAACTTATTTTAAGTTCAATCTTCACTGTTTAGCTATATTTTTAAATATCTCTGCTCAACTTAAAAGCAGTTGCATCTTTTATTTTTATCTTTACATAAACATATATGTTTACAAACACATACAATTTGTTGCTGAATTATATAATTTCCCTGACATGTAGTTCAGTTAATATACAATTTCTGTTTGAGATGATAGAAATAGAATGCCTTGAGATACTTTTAAATAATAACTTTCTCAATATAGTTTTCTACTAAAACTTCTTCATATTTATTAATAAAAAATCTCAGATCGGGAATAGCACAAGACTTTATTTGTAATGTTCTGTTTTAGTTCCGGGCATGATGTGAAAAAAAATTTGATTGCTATGAATTTATGAA